AATGAGAAATGAAATTGTAATTATATATATATATATATATAAGTGTATTTATGCATATGCATGTGTATGTTGTGTGTGCATATATTAATATATCGATATCTTATAATCAGTAATGATAGATCGTAGGATTCATTTATCATTGTCCTCTACACCATCACATTTGGACTCATTTGTGACAGTCTGTCATCGTTTTCTTTAAACAATTTTGGTTATAATTTTTAATTGATGCTTTTTTTTTCTGCTTCATTTATGACAGTCATTTTTCTCTTAAAAAGATAAGATAATTAATTTCTAATTAATTACTATTATTATTATCGCTCATGATTACAAATATTATTAGTTATAATGTTATATCATACATACATATATAAATATTTTAAATGATATATCCAAAGTTGGTAATAGAAAAAAAAATAACCAAATTATATCTTTGTATATTTTTTTAAACTATTTAAGTATTTTCTATTCTTCCTTTATTTATTGGGAAAAAATTCAAGAAAGAAAGAAAACATTCCAAATGTATGATGAAGTGCAAAATGGAAAATATCTCAAATACAAAAAGTGAAATGATAAGAATGATAATAATCAATTGATTGATATGCATCGAATGATTATGATTAGAACGCAAATTATTGCATTAAAAAAAAAAATTGTTACAATTAAATATATTTTTGCAAATATTTTTATTAAAAATATTTATTAGTCATATACAATTTAGAAATTTAAATTTTAATTTAAATTTAAATTAAAAAATTTTTTGTTTTAAAATATTTTCACGTGAATATTTATTTGAAATACCTGTTGTATTTCGATTCAAAAAAAAAATATGCTAGCTTCATTTATGTTCATTGAAAAGGAAGCATATGTTTTCGACTTAACGATAAATTTAATTTTTGAATGAAATAATGCTTCGAACAAAAGAATTAAAGTATTTCAAAGATATTCTCGTTTAAGTAGATGTTATCAAATTAGCATAGCTAATGATTATAATGAATATTAGGATCTGCTTATTATATGCATTTTGATTGCAAATATTCGTTGAAGATGTGTTAACGTTTGGCAAATAAAATATTCTAAATTTGAATTAGATTTAAATTTAAAAATTTATGAAAATTATGCAGAAAAAAACTGTTGCTAATTTTATACAAACAATTGCTCTTTCTCTATTTTTATTACTAAATTTATAAACTCAATAATAAGTGAAGTGAAATTTGTATAATTAATTAATTAAAGAAATAAGAAAAATGTAGTTTATATAATTAATTAATTAAAGAAGTAAGAAAAATATAGTTTATATGATCAATTATTTAGAGAAATAAGAAAAATATAGATTATATAATTAATTAATTAAAGAAATAATAAGAAAAGTTGAGAGAACGTAATAATTGATTTTATTGTGGTTGATTTAATTTTTTATTAATTAATTTAAAATGAGTGATTTGTAAATTTCAGCTACATTGTTGTATTATTTCTTTAAATTTTCAAAAACCAATCTTTTATGAATTAATTTAAAATTGTAAACAAAAACATATTTATACATTATCTTCATTGCAGCACTATTGCTTTCAGCGAATTGTTTGAAAATTGAAAATAAAAGAAAATTTTCAATCCTCACGATTTATTTACCTAAAATTTTGAAAACTATTGCAAACATTATACAAATAAATATATATATATATATACATATTCTTCGTCTTTTGAAATCTAAAAATATATAAATAATTATTATTCTTCTCTCTCTTCTTCTTCTTCTTCTTCTTGCCAGCCTTTGCCTTTGTAATCGTTGTATAGCTCTTTATGATTGCTGAAGAAAAAGTGTTGCATAAAATTGATCGATTTGATAGAAATTAAATTGATGCTAACAAAAAGAGAAAAAGAAAAGGAAGAGTGAGAGGGAGAGAGAGAGAGAGAGAGAAAGAAGGAAAAAGATTTCAATGCTACAAATACAACAACAAATACTTTTTATTATTTTTTGAATCATTTCCTTTTTTTTACATTCATTTTCAAAAAAAAAATTTTCAGTAATTTTATTCTGACACCCGTAGATAGATTGAATAAAGTTTTTAAATTTTAAATTTTAGATCAGTTTAAAATAATTTGAATTTCATTTATGATAATGATAATGTATGATAATATAGGAATAATATGAAGTTGTTAAATTTGATCTTACCGTTAAAACTTTTCATAAGTGTTAGAAAATCAGTAGGAAAAGATATTTATTTCATTAATGATAATGTATGATAATATAGGAATAATATGAAGTTGTTAAGTTTGATCTTGCCGTAAAAACTTTTCATAAATATTAGAAAATCAATAGGGAAAGATATTTCATTTATGATAATGTATGATAATATAGGAATAACATGAAGTTTGTTGAATTTGATCTTGCCTTTAAAACTTTCCATAATTATTAGATTAAATCAATAGGAAAAGATAATACAAGTTTTTTCTTGTACAATAGGAATAGAATAAATAATTCGGTAAAAAAATTATTTTACAAATTTTATTTCATATTTAATGTTTTGTAAATATTCACTGGTTAAACATGATAAAATTAGAAATTAGATAGATTTGAAATTTTGTGAATTATTATTTATCCTTGAAAATGACCGATTTATGAAAATTCCAAAATTGGTATTTACAATTTAATAAAATCATTCATTTAAAGGTGTGACCAAATAATTACACCCAAAAGATGAAAAGGATAAAAATCTGTCTGTATGAAATAGTCGATTGTGACCAATCTAGTAATAATTTTCGAACTCATAGAAAACATTCGCTAATTGTGGTAATAATTATGATGATTATGATAATAATGATGATAGGTTAATGTTAATAATCTCCTTCTTCTTCTCTTTTTTCCCTCTCTCTCTCTCTCTCTCTCTCTATCTCTCTCTCTCTATTTCTCTCCTTCCTTCCTCGATGAGTTCATTTCGTATTTCTAAATATGTCTAATATTTAAATTTTTAATTTTAAATCTTATTTAAATTTTTAATTTAAAATTTTATTTAAATTTTTAATTTAAAATTTTAAGTGAAATTTGCAATTATAATTTATTTAGATGAAATTTGATTGGATGAAATTTGCAATTATAATTTATTTAAGCAGTATTTTTATATTTTCTATAATTGTAGATAAATTCTGTAGAAATTGCTAAAACAGGTAAATGCTTAAGATTTCATATATGATCTATGACGACGATATATCTGTTGTAAATTTATAAATTTGTAAACATTGTAAATTCGCAAACATTAACCAGTATATCGCGGGAATAAAAATTTCTTAGGCAAAAAAAGTAAAAGAAATTTTGTTCCGATAAGAATTATTATTTTCTATAAAATTATATCGAAATTAAAGATTTTCAATAATATATCTAATTTGAATACGTTACTAACTCTATTTTCTCGTATTGTAGTAACACATTTTACCAGCATACGATATATTAATATGATACTTCAATACAAGTACCACTACTTATCTTCTATTCATCATCCATTTCTACCTCCCGGAAAATACCGTAATACACGCAATTATATTCCTGATAATTCTTTTTAACCTCATTTATTACAAATATGCATGCAATATTTACAAATAAAATCTTTCCACTACTTTTTCCTTTGATTAAAATATTCATCAAATCAAAATGACTTGTTTGATTACATTTCAAATTTCATATTTCAAATCTTTTCCTCTTTTTCTCAAATTTAAAAATTCAATCAAATTTCTTCTTTTCCTCTCTGATTTTTATGAAAGTTTGAAAAATTTGATTTCGAAAAATAATTCAAAATTCTTTTTTTGTCGGTAAAGAAAAAAAAGCCATTAACAAATCAATGATAAATTGTCGTCATTTCGTATCATCTCTTTACATACCACCCTTTCATATTTCCTATGTGTGTCTTTTTTTCAGTATTGCTAAATTGATCTTATGAAAAAATTGGACGATGTAAAGTGATAATTTACGGGATTAGTATTTAGCATAAAATTTCCGATCATCCGGTATAGCATATCATATAGATTATGTAAATATATATATACATTATGTAAATAATATTTTACTATCTGGTATATTTTATTCATTTATTTTATTCTTTTATTTATTATCAGTTTTTCATTCACTCATGAGATTATTCATTTTATCCTCCATTTTATTTATTTATTTTTAATTTGTTTATTTAATTAGTCATTAAAAAAGCAAAATAAAATTTTTCCTTTTTAAATGTGATATAAAATTTTGAAAATTCTTCTTATAAAATTTACTCCAATTGTTAACAAATTCTTAGTGAAAGGATTTTATAAGTTATATAGGTTAACATTATTTTAGATTAATAAATAGAAGGATTTAAAAATTGGGACAGGTTTAACCGATCGGCTTAGTATCATTGGCCTCGTTTTTCAAAAAGCCTAATATTTCACTGATTTATTGTCAAAAATGGACATCTCTAAATGATTGAAATAAGTGATTTGGAATTTTTTTTCCATAATTTTGTCGAAATATATATTTTTAATTTTTGCATATTTGTGGAATTTATTCTTATAATTGGATTTATTTAAAATTTTCCGGAATTTTTTTCCTTGCTCGTATTACAATTTATTTTTTCATTTTGATTAATTCCGATCCTTTTTGTTTCTTTTCTTAAATTTATTTTAAACTGTCGGGAGAGATGATCGGATTTGAAAATTCATTTTAAAAAATTTCTGTTATAGTGATATTACAAATGTCATTTACATTTTCTGCACTCTTTTATGATTTTCTCACCAATTAGCGCTTTCTTTTTGGACCAATTAACACAAATGGAATAAATGAATCAATAGAAATTAGTAAATTAATTGATGTGAGTTATTCGGCAGACATTTCTTTTTCGGATTTCATGGGACTTCTTACGAATTAATGTCGTAGTGCTAATTTTGATCAATTTTTCATTTAAAATTATATAATACAATAAAAAATTAGTGTAAGAATACGTGAGATAGAAATCGGAATTTACGGTATACTGAAGAAGATGAAATCCGGAACAGATGTGCTGTAATCAATTTCCATTATAGTCATTGTTGAATCTCACTTATTCGGTCAAAATTCGGCCGACGTTTGATAAATATAAGTATTTTCTATTTTAGATTGTTGTTTAGCCATTTATTGTTTTTGATTGTTTTTACTCAGTGCTTACTTTTTGTAGTATACGGCGTACGGCAAATCCATTACGTGATCGAATGTGTCGAACAGAAAATTCGCTAGAAGTATGGATTTTGGAAGCAAAAGGTGTTCCGGTTAAACGGAAATACTACTGCGAGATATGTCTCGATAAGACATTATACGCCCGAACATCGGCTAAACCACGTGGTGATATTTGTTTCTGGGGCGAGCACTTCTATTTCAGGTTTATTTTCCAGTTTTATTTTATTTTAGGTAATGTTATTTTAGGTTATATTTTATTTTATTTTCCATTTTTTGTCACATTTTTTTACTATAATTTTTACAAATCTTTAACTTATTTTTTAATTTCGAAATTTATTTTTGTTTTAAAGATTTAAAATATTACAAATGATTACTTTTTATCGTTGATATTTGAAATATTTGAAAATAACTTTTATAAAACAATGAATAATTGAAGTAATTAATGACATCTAAATATTATTTCATTCAAATTCTAATGCCTAATTTAATCAAATACATTTACTTGATCTTTTTTCTTCTAATGAATTTTGTTAATTTTCAAAATTTTAGTCCAATACCAAAACTGGAAAATGTTTGCATCAATTTATATCGTGAAGCGGATGCAAAAAAGAAGAAAGATCGTTCAACATTAATTGGATATGTTCAAATCAAAATTGATCAACTATCTACACGACATCCTGTAGAACGATGGTTTGTTTATTTGTTTATTTTCCTATCTCTCTTTATCTCTCTCCCTTATCTTATCTTATCAAACATGATAGAGAAATGATAGGTTTTTTTTTTGCGAATAATTTTTAAAGGAAACAAGAAAAGAAAAAAATGATCAAACATTTAAGGATTTGATCACTTTTCATGATTATTCAGCCCTGTTGTGATAACAATATTTTCTGTGTAGTGTTAATTTAAAAATTTTGTTTTAAATGTAATTTTAATTGTTTATTTTCTTTCAATTAAATACATCAAAATTAATTGGATATGATAATTTGAATTTTCTTCCTCCTTCTTTAATATGATATTATTATAATTATCGGAAGTATTTTTTAATGCTTCGATGAAAATTAAAAAAGTTTTATACCAGGTCAACTGAATTTATATGAAATATCTTTTCGAAATAAATGGAAATTTATTTATTTGCCGATTTTTTAAAGTGCTTTTGCAATTATATCATTTTTCCAAGCGTATTTATTTAATTATTTACTGTCCATATTATATATAATACATTTTTTTGTTAACTTTATTAAAAAATGTTCATCAAAAATTTGAATTAATTGTTAAACCCATATATAAGGGAGCGTATTATATATGGATATATAATATGGTTAGTGAATAATTAAAGTTAACAAAAAAAATGTATGAATAGTGAATAGTTAAATAATTAAATATGGATAGTGAATAATTAAAGCTAACAGAAAATAGAGCAGTACTTTATGATATCTTGGGACTGATAAATATAATAATAGTAATATTTCTGAATATTGATGCATATAAGATTTATGTTAAAAAATATTATTCTAACGAAAAAAAAAATATTAATTAATTAACGGATGAATTGGACTAAAAATTTTTGATATGTTTATATAAACTTTATGTTAAAAATATTAGGAAATGAGTTTTGCTAGTTTTATCGGATAAATTCTATTTAGCATTATAATGTTAATATATCTATCTTATTATCACTATAATTAACTTGTATAATTTTCATTTAAAAAATATCAGTAATATTATTCTGATGAAAAGATATTTCTATTCATACAAATATAAACAAAAAAGTTTAGTACAATTAATTAAACTTGAGTAAGCTAAGAATTCGAAAATTTTTGCTTAAAAAATTTATTCACCAATGAATTTCAAATATTTTTAAATGACAGATTATGGAATGTTTTCCGGGAATTTTTGTAAATTTTAGCATAAATTTATTTCCAAAAATTCCCTCCAATCATTATCAGTTATAATAGTGTAATATTTTTTAACATTCATTTTGTATTTTAGGCTTAGCAAAATTAAACATTAAATATGCTTTATGAATAGCACATATAAAATAATTAATAAATATAAAAAAACTTTTTCCTAAAATTTATTGATAAAAAAACAATGAGGAAATGAAATCATCGTGATTAATTTCTTCGATTACAAAAAAAATTTTAAATTTTAAAATTGTCAATCATTTGTAATCGATATTATAACTAATACTCTTCAATCATTAGTAATCGATATTATTTATAGTATTAACATCATAACTAATACTGTTCATTCGTTAGTAATCAATATTATTTATAGTATTGACATCATAACTAATACTCTTCGATCATTAGTAATCGCTATTATTTATAGTATTAACATCATAACTAATACTGTTCATTCGTTAGTAATCAATATTATTTATAGTATTGACATCATAACTAATACTCTTCGATCATTAGTAATGGATATTATTTATAGTATTAGCATCATTACTAATACGCTAAAAATTAAAAATTATAGCATAAATTATAGGTCATCAGTGATATTAAGTGAGCGTTAAAAGAAGAAATTCTAAATTTAAATTTTTAAAAACTAAAAAGATAGGTTTTTTTCTTGCTGAATACATACATATTTCACTCATTCAACTACAACAGTGTAATTTACCTACTTCTCTTCCATCTATAGTTTAATCTCGACCTGATTTTACTATTTTTTCCGTTTTTTTAAAAGTATCCGTTTCTTTTTTTTAATTTTTCCGTTTTAGGATGATAAAAATTTATCATTCACTAATTGTATACCATTAATGATTATTAATTACTCATTATAATTAATCATTGATGAAATTGTGACTTTTTTTTCAGCAGCTATCAATTAATTAACTACCAAAATTTAATTCATTAATTTGTGTCGTTTTTTTTTTTTGTCATCTAAAATTTTCTTTCTTCAATTTTTCTTCCTGTGTTAAATTCATCCATAAATTTTTCGATTCTTCTTAATAAAGCTGGTAACATCATTTTTATGCATAACATTATCGTAATTTTTTTTTTTGTACAGGTAATTTTATTTCGTTGAATTTGATTTGATGGGATTTTACTACGATGTGAAGAAAAATTGGTTAAAATTTTGAAAAACAAAAGAAATTTTTTTAATTCAATAAAAATTAATTTTTGCTTTCATTCATTATCTACAGTTAAAATGATTGAGGATGATTTAGGCTATTTGAATTATCTGTCGTTGTATGCCATTATCTAGAATTAGAATGGTTTAGGATGATTTAAGCTATCTGAATTATCTATCTGTCATTTTATGCTAAGTTAAAAATTACTAGGAAGAAAAAATAGATTCCATATGATTTATTGACTTTCTCTCAATTAAAAGAGGTTGGATGTCATAGCTTAAAGTTTAATGAAATAGAATTTAATAGCTTCCAATTATTAGAATGAATTGCTATAATGATTTTTTTTTTTGAACATGAAATTAAATGGGGTCAAATTTTACAGCTAATTCATTTTAGCTTATTTTTTAAGCTTATAGAAAACTGTAGCAATTTTATTATGTATAATTAAGGAAGGATAATTTTCTTTATGCCGGAAATAATTCATTCATATATTTAGTGAAGGTAAAATCATTTGAAGGCTTTAAAAAAAGCAAATTTGATTAATAGTTACAAATTTCAGCTTTTTGTTTTAAACTAAAAATTGAAATTTCAATAAGATTCTATCGTAAAATTTAAACTATAAATTTTATGTGTAATAGTAATTTGAAAGATGTGGAAATAGTGGTAATAATACTAATTTATTGAAGATTTTTTCAACACTTTTTAACTATTTTTGAAAAAAGGATTTAACAAGATGTGAAAAAAGGCAGGTAATAATAGTAAGATGATACGAATGATTTCTGATAATTTCCATTTCCAATAATGATTCAATTTGATGATAGTTATTACTAGTAGTGAGTAATGATGATGAATGATTACGTTGAAATTCCAAATGTAGCAATACACACTTGAACAATTTTTTTCATTTTCCATTTTTTTAAAATAATTTTTATACATTTTCAAAAATGAAAAAAATTGTGGCACACACACACACACTCTTTAAACTATTTCAGTTCTCTTTTATCAAATGTTTGTGATTTTTCGATGAACTATTTTTGTTTGAAACGTTTTCATTTAATTTACACGTACGTACTACCACCATTTTTCACGTGCTACACATAATTTACATTTGAATATCTTTTCTTTTAAGAAAAAAGAGTTCAAAATTAATAAAATTTACAGCACGGCTGGTATTAACCAATTAATTAAATTTTTGCATTTTTTGAATTTTTTTTCGGAACAAATAAAATATCCTATAATGCTGTCAGAATGATCATTCAGTCTTTTTTTGTTTTATTTCTATTTATAAGTATAGTTTTATATATCTAT